CCAAGCCCATTCAGTTTGGCCCTTTGTGCTGGGGGTTAAGTGGTTACATGTGGGGGGCACGCAGAAAAGACCTGTCAGGCCCTGAAAGGCTGTGCTGATATGGTGCCCTCCTACTGATGAATGGGATGGGTGGGGGAGAAGTGGGCTACCAGAGCGTAATGTGGGGGAGAGGGCAAGGGGATTATGGAGCCCACAGAGGCAGCTGCTGGGAAGGGAGCAGAACAGGCACCTCCTTCTCCCATTCCTCCTTTAGTTCAACTTTTCTATCTAGCTCACTCCTTAACAGCCTCGGGATCTTGGATCTGGCTTTTCTGGTCTCTTGGTGGAAGAAAGTTGGGAGAGGCCATTTACCAATTGGGAGCATTGCAGAGAAATTCTTCTAGAAGCTTCAAAACACCTTTGTTCTCCTTTTGGGGGTGGTGGGAAGAGAGAAAGGAGGATAATTCATTTTCTAGGTTCCTTTGGTGCTGTGGGTTTGGAACTGTGCCCAACTGAGCTTTTAAAACCTTCCTCAGGGCTGAAGGTATACCTCGGTGGTAGAACATGTGCTTAGCATGCAAGAGGCCCTGGGTTCAATCTCCAATACAGAGAGGAGGAGGGTGGGAAGGAAGGAAGGGAGGGAGGGAGAAAGGGAGGAAGGGAAGAAGGGAGCCCTCAGATGTTCCTGGGAGCCCTGTAAGGAGATGTTTAGGGTGCCAGGATCAGGAAAGGAGAGATCTCAAAGTATATGTATTGTAAAGATTTTGTTTGAAGAAAAAGATGAAATAGGTTAGTGCTTGCCTAACATGTGACAGGTCCTTGGTTTAATTCCCAGGACTGGAAAAAAAAAATTTTTTTCCAACACTAAAAAAAAAAAATCTTTAAAACTTCAGATTGGAAGTACCTCACCCTCATTTCACAGCTGAGAAAACAGCCACTTCGAAGGTTGAGAGAATTGGTCACATTTTTACCTAAGGTCACATAGTAATTTCCTAATAGACTAGAGTGGCACTTTAAGAGGCAGTGGAGAAGTAGATGAACAAAACAACAAAGTCATAGGCTTCCTAGGCCTTCCTTTCTTGAGATGAGCCAATTCTGGGGAGTAATCTTCCTTCTAATCTGCTCTCTGGTGTGTCAAAGGTCCTCCTGGCCAGGCACAGGTGGCTCACAACTACTATCCTAGTTACTTAGGAGGGCAGAGATCAGGAGGTTTCAGTTCCAAGCCAGCCCAGGCAAATATTTCCTCGAGACCCTATCTAGAAAATATCCTTCTCAAAAAAAAGGGCTGGTGGAGTGGCTCAAGGTGTAGTCTCTGAGTTCAATCCCCAGTACTGCAAAAAAAGGGGGAAAAAAAAATCCTCCTGGTCTCCTGGGTTGCGCCTAGTTTTGGAAGCCCAAGAAACAATGTTCACAACATAGTTTTCAAGGTCTATTTTGCCCTTTTTTTTAGCTCAAAAAGGTTAAAAGGATTTGACTTGCTTAATTCCTAAGGCCATCTGTGATGAAAAAAAAAGAAGAAAGCAGCAGCAGTGTAGTGATTCCTCCAGGTCTAGACCATCCTAATGTGGAGCTTTTGGTGACTTCGCCAGTGTTCCCTGCTACATACAGGATGACACCAAGCTCCTTGGGATGGCGGTCAATACCTTGTACAACTGCCCAACTTTATCCTCCAGCTTCATTTCCTACCTCTATTTCCTCCCAAGCTCCAGCCACACGGGCCTACTCTGTTTTCCAAACACATTGTAAATATGTGATCTCCTAAGCCTTCTACTTTCTCTTGGCGAACTCCCTCAAGGCCCAGCTCAAGAGTCACCATTGTAAAGCCTTTCCTTACCCTCTTTTATGCTCATTACTTTCCCATACTAGCTCTGCTGCAGGGCCTATCACGTTGTTAGCCTACTCATTCCTGTTTTCCTTTCTAAACAGGTTGCTCCCCAAGACCAGTTGACTCTGACCCTACCTGCCATCACTGTCATAAACATTCTGTGACTGTGTACCTTATGTGAATGAATGGATGGAAAAAGGCAGGTCTTTAAAGTTGAAACATTTTGACCTTCTCCACCCCTTTCTTTCTGAAAGTATTGACATTGAGAAATTATCCACCTATGAGGAAACCTCATGCCCATCCTGTTTCCTGGAGTAGAAATTCCTCTCATCTTCCCTGTCTCCTTGTCTGACACCCCAGACCTTGGGGCCTACATCTGGCTACTCACTGATAGCCTCTCTTGGCTCTGACATCTTTCTGCCCACTGCTGGATCTTCATGGTGGCCTAGCTTTCAGTAGAGTCCTGCTTAGGCTGGTACTGGTCATCTGGTGATTTCTGTGTCTCTGCCAATGAACTCCCTGGGGTGTGTGGGGGATGGAGACAGCCATAACTACCCTCCCACTCCATTGGGAGAGATGGAGTCCTTGGCATTCTGACTGAAGAAGCCTCTGGTGAATGAATGCCAGGCATCCCTACATCTGCTTCTCAGTCTTCAAGCAGACATGAACATCTTTGTCTTCCTCCTGGGTCTTTTTGTTCTCCAAGGTCTCAGTTCTCTGAAAAGTATAGAGTAGCCAGGACCACTGTCTGAGCACTGACTATATTAGTTATACAGTGCTGGAGGGTCTCATGTAACATTGCCCTTGACTGAGAGGCCCTAGTCTGATACTCTTGGAATTCCCTTGGCTTATCAGATATTATATTATTTGGAAACAAGTAGCTTTATAAAACAATGGGATTGATGACTAACCCATGCCAGGCTGATATACTACCCTGCAGAGTTCAATATAGCCTCTCTCTCTAAATATAAATATATATATACATATATATATTATTTTTTTGAGACAGGGTCTCACTATGTTGCCCAGGTTGCTCTCAATCCTCCTTCCTCAGCCTCCCAAATACCAAATAGCTGGGACTACAGGCATGTACCACTGTGCTAAGCTTCAATATATAATTCTCTGTGTTCTGTAGCCAGAATACATACAAAGAGGTACAGGAAGATGTGGCACCTTGTGTGATTGCACCTAAGGACTTTTCAGAGTTTGCTTCCTGTCTTTGAGGTTCTATGTTCTGCAGGTCAGGAGGCTTCAGCATCTGGAGAGAATGCCTCTAACCAGGGAATACAGGAATGACTTAATTGCATTTCAGGCTCCTCATAGCACTGGAGGAATAGAAAAGAAGGGATCATAATGTAGGCTGCCCTGATAATGGCTACCATGGGGAAACAGAGGTGTTACTACTTAATAAGGGCCAAGAGGCTCACATTTTCCCTGCTTTGTCTTTTTTTTTTTTTTTGGTGGCACTTGGGTTTGAACTCAGGCAGGCGCTCTACCATTTGAACCACTTCACCAGCCCTTTTTTGTGTTGGGTATTTTTTGAGATAGTGTCTCACAAACTGATTACCGGGGCTGGCTTCAAACTTCAATACTCCTGATCTCTTCCTTCTGAGTAAGCAGAATTTCAGCATGAGTCACTGGCATCTGGCTACTTCATCTTCTTTTAATTTTATTTCATAAAGTGTCAGAGAAAACTTCTAGTTCACCTGGAGTGAGGTTCCCACTCTTGGACTCCAGGTTCTGTTTGACCCACATGGTGAGAGCTGGGAGAGACAGGGTCTGAAGGAGGTGCTGTTCTGGGCAGATCTATTAGCCAGCTTTTATGGCTCTATGGGTGTGGGGAGACCTGCATAATCCTAGACTACCGAAGCCCAGAGCCCTTAGCAGTGAGAATTTGGGGTGGAAGGCAAGGGGAACTTGGGGAAGGGAAAAACCAGCTAGGCCTCAGGACTTGAGATTGCCACCTGTATTTTCTTAGCTTTGGGAGTGCCCTAAGATTAAGCTACTTTCTGCTTTTTTTTTCTTCCTAGTCCCTCTAAAAATAGGGAATAATTATAAAATTTTTTCTCTTTCATTTCTCTTATTTTTGTATATAAGATTTTTTAATTAATATATTACTTGTATGGGGGAGGGGGTCACTGGACATTTACATATGTGCTTATAATGTGTATAAATATCCCATTTAGTATCTAGGTTGGAGAATGGTGAGCTGGAATCAAGTTGGAACTGAAAGAGGATGCCTCATGTCATTAGGTCAGCAATTATTGGATTATTTGATTGAAAATTGGGCCCCCAACCTCCATACATTTCCCCCAGGGAGGGGGAATCAGGCTCAAGAAACAGAACACTAGAAGAATCCACTGGAATTTGAAAGCTCAGACCACCTTCTTATCTAGCTGCTTCTCCTCACCTGGGAAAAGTACAGGAGTCCATTGCACAGGAACCCTGGAGAGGGTCCTCTGCCCAGCGGCAAGGAAGCACCCAGGTAATGTGTAGAACGTTGGCTGGGAACCCTGTCCCAGAGTGTCTTTTCTTAAAACCTTACATTAAATAAATTTAATCAAATAAGCACAACATGAATATATAATTCCAAATTGTATTCAGTGCTATGAAGAAAAAGAACAAAAGTGCCCTGATAGTATAGAAGGGGGAACTAATCTGGCCTGGAATCAAAGGCGCCTCTCCAAACAGATGGAAACGCGAGTTTAGTCGAGAGAGAATTTTAGGCAGAAGGATGGGTGTGTGCAAAAATCAAAAGAAAGGAGCGTGGGGCCCAAGTGCAGAGAGCCAGGTAAAGGAGGAAGGCGGGAGGCAGGCAGGGCGGGAGGCGCCAGGCATTGCGTCTGCAGCCTGACGGATTTCCCGTGCGGTAGAGAAGCCATTGAGGGGTTCTAAGCAGGAAGGCGGTGCGCGATCAGATTTTCAGCTTGGAATCGTCGCTATGGCTGCAGTGATGCAAACCAATCTATCGGAGCAGCCCAGGGAGTTACGTTAGGAGATGGCCCCGGGCCTGGAAGGCCTGAGCCGAGCCGAGCCGGGCCAGGTGGAGGAGGCGGGTCCTGCGCGGAGAACCGAACCGGCCCACGTGGGCCAGGCCGCCCCGCCCCGCCCCGCCGCGCAGACGCCGCCAGACTCCGCAGTCCGGGCCTGGGGCTGCGCGCGGGGTGCTGGGGACCCCGCACCCAGGCTGGGACGTGGACGCCCAAGTCAAGGGACCCTCAGGCCGCAGTAACAAGTTCCCAGCAAGCAGGGCCGGGCGGAACCAGAACCAGCCCCGCAGGAGCGGGAGCCCCTAGGCCGTGAGTCCGGGCCCGAGGTGGAGGGCTTGGAGCCCAGCCGCGGGAGTGGGGGGCGGGCGTCGCAGCCACTGCCCAGCAGCCTCCGCAGAGACTAGGGAAGGATGGCGCTGCCCTCTGCCTCTAGGGGGTTGTCTTCTTCTGCGAGGTGGAGGAGGTCACCAATGCCCCATTGTACAGTCCCCTCTACCCCGGAAATTCCGGATTTGCTTGAGAAGGGGGGAAATCCTGATCCTGGGGGTGTCTGGGCTCCCACTTTAGCATCTCAGAAAACGCATGACACTTAGCACCACCCCTGCCTATCCCAGATTTATTTGTGGTCCCGACCAAGTTTAGGAAAAAGAGAAATACTAAGGCAAGGGAAGATCTCCAGGCACCTTCCCACAAACCGGAGGGATGGTGGTAGGGCAGGTTACAAAGAAGGTGTCCTTACACCATTGTCTGCCCACTACTGAATGTGGGGAGGGTCCCTGCCACCTATGGAGTTTCTCCTAGTACCTGCTTCTCCTAGTGATATCCCTCCTTTCCCCCCCCCCCAGTACGGGGGTTTGAATTTAGACCCTACACCTTGAACCACTCCACCAGCCCACCCCTTTTTTTGTGATGGGTTTTGAGATCGGGTCTCCTGAACTATTTGCCTGTCTGGGCTGCCTTCAAACCTCGATCCTCCTCATCTTTGTCTCCTCAGTAGCTAGAATTACAAGTGTGAGCCACCTGCACCCAGCTCTCCCTCACTCTTAATGATCCTCAGTTCTTCTAATACTAGTAATGTGCTCAGTAGAAATCTCTTGTCAATTCAAGGCCATATCTGGGGACAAGCTGGTTATTAGGGAAGAGTGGTATAGCAAACTAGGGTCAGGGACACAAGATGGTAAGCATGTCCCAGGAGTATTAGGAGGGAAGGGGCAAGCTTGTCAGTGGGAGAAGGAGGGCTCCCTAGGGCAGGGAAGGAAACAGCAGCCAGCTCTGCCAGCCCTGGGTGTCAGCAGTAACCTCCTCACATTATTGGCTCTGTCTTCCAGAGCACGAAATCCCACTGCAGTCCCCTCTCCAATTCACTTCCCCAGCAAATATGTGCAGACACCTGCTAGTGCCAGGCTCTGTGCTGGCTCCTGGGAATATGATGGAGTCTAGTCAGGAAGCTAGATTAGAAATTGTCCCAAGATCATTGAAACAAGCACTTCCAGTTGAATAGGCATTTACTGACCACCACCTATGTATGCCAGGGATAGGAAATGCACATGGATAAGAGTGTGTACCCAGGGCAGTGGGGAGAACATCAGAAAGGCCTCAGGAAGGCATGGATACTAGGAGCTGAGTTTTGAAGTACAGAAAGGAGTTTGCTTGGTGGAAAAGGAGAAACTTTGAGGGTGGAGAGGCAGGGTACTGTAGGCCAAAGGAATAGTGTGGGGATGGTAGTGCGTTTTAACAGACTCATTCTTCTGTTTCCCCTTCACAGGCAAGATGTTTGCCATCCAGCCAGGGCTAGCAGAGGGGCCCCAATTCCTGGGGGGCCTGCCTCCTGGAGTATGTCAGCCCGAGCTCCACCCAGACAGCAATTCCAACTTCATGGAGAGCACCAAAGACGCCAATGAGAATTGGCATGGGATGCCAGGCAAAGTAGAACCCATCCTGCTGAGGAGTTCCTCTGAGTCACTCTCTGACAACCAGGCCTTCCAGGCCACTGGACTCCTTGAGGACGGGGTCCGCAGCCCCCCAGAGGGTGCAGAGATTCCTGGTGCTGAGCCTGAGAAGTTGGGTAGTGCTGCCACTGTCTGCTCCCCTCTGGAGGACATCGGCTATGCCAGCAGCTCCCTAAGCATCGACAGCTCTAGCAGCAGTCCAGAGCCTGCCTGTGGGACCCCTCGAGGCCCTGGCCCTCCTGATCCCCTTCTGCCCTCGGTGGTCCAGGTTGTGCAGCAGCTGCAGGCTCAGGAACGCTACAAAGAGCAGGAGAAAGAGAAGCACCATGTGCACTTGGTGATGTACCGTCGCCTGGCACTACTCCAGTGGATCCGGGCCCTGCAGCACCAGTTGGTTGACCAACAGGCCAGGCTGCAGGAGAGCTTCGACACCATCCTAGACAACCGAAAGGAGCTTATCCGGTGTCTCCAGCAGAGGGCAGCACCATCCAGGCCCCAGGACCAGGGCTAACTGTGTGCCTCTACAAGTGTGCAGGGGTGTACATGTATGTTGGCAAGCATGTGTGTGGTTGTGCACATGGGATTGTTGACATGAGTGCAGGTAAGCATAAGTGAGTTTAAATGTGCCTTGTGTGCACACATGTACACACCGGCTAACTCATGAATATGTAAGAGTGAATGTGTGTGTAGCACATATGTAAGAGTCAGTAAATTTGTATATGTATATGTGGATAGATACCCAAGAATATGTTTATATATGTGTGAATGAGGATGTACATGCAGAAGGTGTGTGTGCATATGCATGAGTTTGATTGTGCAGTCTTGTGTTAGGTATATGAGTGAACCTTTGTTCAAGCCTGTGTGTCAGGGTGTATATGTGCAGGTTCTGTCATGGGGAATGTATGTTGGGAGCCTGTATATTTACACACAAACTCATGAGCACATGTGTGTGTGTGTGTATATTATATATGTATTCAATTGCATCTGGAGGACATCCACCTATATACCCTGTGTTACCCAAGGTCTACCCACAGCCTTCTTTCTCTGCTGGGTACCACTGCTTCCTGGAGAGAGAGGACTAGCCTACTGTCATTTATCTGAGGCTTGTAGCTGATCCCTGCTTCTGAGATTTCTCAGGTCACCTTTCCTTCTCTCTTCCCCTCACTTAACCCAGATCTTGCTCTATCGAGGCTGTTGTCCCTGATATTGGCTTTTCTGTAAGAGGTTTTTGTTTGTTTCATTTGCAGTGCTTGGGATGGAACCCTGCTCCTCATGCATGCTAGCCAAATGCTCTACCACTGAGCTACACCCCCAGCCTCTGTAAGAAGTATAATGGCAGCTCTGGCCTGCCTTGGCACTTTGGCTATAATTTCGTTAAGGAAGTTGGTAGAGAATTGGTATCAGGGAAGTAACTGGGGTAGTGATGGAGTTTATGGCAAGGGTGAGGGGGTACAGAAAAGAAGATAGGGGACTGTCTTTTTGAAGTCTGCCTTTGGCCACATGGGAGATGAAATTGAGAGAGGTAGACCCCTGTGAAGAATAGGAGAATGGAATTCCCAAAGTATACCTCTCCACTGGGAAGGGAGGTTGAAAACCATATTAATTTAAGCTTCCAATGAAAAAGAATGTGTGCTTTCAGGCTTACAAGTAATTAGATAAAGTTTTTCTAAGACTTTTAGGGAAAATCTCACTTCCTGCTTCTGGGCCCCTACCTTGCTGTGCTTCTCCGGCTTTAGCAACATTGGCTGTCCATTTGGTTTGGTCCATTTCTTTAAAATCAGACTGTTGGGAGGAGCAAGAGCTCAGCTCTCCAGGGGCAGAGTCAACCCAGCCTCTAGAAGGTCTTAGGTTGTTGTGTCATGTCCTCTTCTGTCACTGCATGCCTTTTAAACAGGGATTGATAGGCTCCAGAAAAGGCTCCATGAGTTGGAGAGTTGATGAATCTTGGAGAGAACCAACCACTAAAATAGTGGAGCTCACTGCTTTGCTCCTGGCTGCCAAGAGAATGCTCCTGGTGGGTGAGCAATGGCACTAAGAGGGAATGGTGGCAGGTGAACAGTGGCATAGAACACTGATGCTGCCTCTGTCTACAAAATGCGGGGCTCTTCCTTTCTATCTCTGAAGAGTTCATCCCTTATCTGAGTGGGTGTAAGGTACAAGGAGTGAGCCCTGGGAACTTTCTGTCTGTAGCTCTTGCATGTTGAATGTGAACCTGGACATTGGACCAACTCTGAATAAATAAACTAAGGCAAAGTATTAAATTTCTTGAGTATGTGTTTCTATTCTACCTGGTGCCCTCTTTCACACTGTCTGAGCTCCCCTTTGAGCAGGGTCTGGGACTGGGGAGCAAAGGGTGGAAGTTGGGAGAAATACTGGGACTAAAGAATTCAGATTCCTGCACTTAGCAGGCTCAGAGGTCTCCCCAGTCTGACAAGGGAGATTTGGCCTCTGCCCTGGGAGCCCCATATGGAATTGTCCTGTTCTAAATCACCTTTGCACCTGAATAGATTGTAACCACCATATACACAAATACTGAACCCTGCCCTGGACTCACCCCTGCCTGAAGGATGCCATGACTGCAACAGACTGAGTGAGGGTCCTCAGATGATTCTGACACAGATGTAGTTTTGTTTTATTTTATTTTATTTATCTTTGTGAGGAGCTGGGGATTGAACCCAGAACCTTCTACATGCTAGGCAAGTTCTCTACATCCCCAGTCCCCAGACATAATGTGACTTCAGATATTGGTCAATATCAATTAGAATATGTCTTCTTCTTTAGTTTGTATGGTGATTTATTAATTTCTCAAAAAACTCAGGGGCTGAGGGTGTAGCTCAGCATTTGAATGCCTGCCTAGAATGTACAAGGCACTGGGTTCAATCTCTAGCACTGGAAAAAAAAAAAAAAAGAGCATTACTTTTTTTCCCCTTCTCTTTTTACATACTGGCAGAGCCCTCAGCTTCCAAGTCTGAGATCTCTGAAGACCAGGTTGGTCTCCCTGGCCCTCTTGGGTCCAACTCTCACTATAGATGACCGAGTCTTCCCAATACACAAATCATTATTTTTCTAAGAAAGGTATATTAGTTATCCACTGCTGCATAACAAATTACCCCTAAAATGTAGTGGTTTCAATCAACTGTGATTTCACCAATTCTGTAGGTCAAGAATCTGAGCATAGCTGTGTCTTCTGTCAGTCTCTCAATCAAAATTGGACCCAGTGTCTATGATCTCATTTGCTGGTAGCATTCAGTTCCTCTCAAGCTATTGGCTGGAGGCCACCTTCAGTTCCTTGCCATGTGGGCCCTTTCAACATGGCAGCTTGTTTTATCCAAACTAAGAAAGCAATGAAATACTAGCAAGACAGAAGTCACTATTTTCTGCAACCTAGTCACAGAAATGACATCCCCTCAATGTTGCCACATTCTATGGCTAGAAGCAAGTTACTCAAGAGGAAGGTATTACACAAAGCTGCAAATCTCAGGAGGTGGGGATTGCCGGGGCCATCTCACAGACTGCCATTCTCAGAAGGCATATTTAAACTGGTTAAATAAAGGCATACTTTATTGACTAATTTTTATATAAATAATTATATTCTCATAAAGATAGAAACATCTCAAAGAAACCTAATGTCCCCTTTTGCCTGCTCCAACAAAACGTATTTTAAACTTCACAAAGTATACTTCTCACTGAAACAGTGACCCAGGACATTAATAATTCCTGCCACCTAATATCTGATGCTTAAGCAGACAGAATACTGGAAAAATTTAAACAAATTCCACTTGAGTATGGTCTAGCAAAGAGCTTAACAATGCGATAGCAAGGCCTCAGAATCCAAATGGTGGGCTTTCAAAAGAAAACCTCTTCCTAAAAGTTTGACGGCTTCTGCAAACACCAAAGCCAGACCCCCTGGATTTGAATCCTAGCTTCAGTGCTTTTTGTTTCTGCCATCTTGGGCAAGTCAATTTTTCTGTGCCTCAATTTCCCCATCTTAAAATGGGAGCCATGTCATACGGTTGTTGCAAGGAAAAATGATTGTATAAAAAATAAAATACATAGGACTGTACCTGACACATAATAAAATACATTATTGAGACTTACAAAGATGATTATAACTTACACTTAACTTTCTCACAGAAAAACAATCCAATTTTTCCTTAAGGAATTTTAGATTTAAACTTTAAAAGGCATCTTTTAAGAAAAGAAAAAGACTTTTAAAAAATAAAGCTACCTAATATTTCTTTTCATAAAAGAGCTTTTTGAGGGCTGGGGATGTAGCTTAGTGGTAGACTACTTGCCTAGAACTCCAGGGCCCTGGCTTCCATTCCCAGAAAAAGGTGGAGGCCAGACCTAGGAAACAGTGTGGTGCTTTGAGTTACAGGACCTCTGCTAGTCACTTTGGTTCTAGGGACAGGCCTAGGCCTAAAGGTGGGTTTAAAAGAGAGACTGGCAAGAGCAGAGAGTCATAGCCACAGCCAGCACAGCAGAGTTTGGGGCAGGGAAACTAAGGTAGAACCCCAGTGGCTAAACCAACACAACAGAATTTTGGTTCCTCATCAGGTACATTGGTCACTGCTGTATCTCCTGTTGATGTAGACCTGGGCTAGACTTAGTTTCTTCACCTGTGGCAGTTGTAAAGATGAGTGAGCAAATGGACCTGAAGATGCTCTGTGTGCATGAAGATCAAGCCCCTCCTCTGCATAAGACCTTGAGGCATCTGCTGTGTCCTTGTGCAACTCTGGTCTGCACCGATAAATCAGACCTGTGTCTAGAAACCCAATGCATAAGCCACTCCTTTTCCAAGAGAAGTCAAGACTCCATGTAGGACTCAGCCTAAGAGGTGGGGATTTCTTAGTCCCCAGGATAGTAAGAAAGTAGGGAGGGCTCATGCACTTGGGAGTGATTTGGCCAGTCAGACACCACCACCCTCTATTCCTCCAGCCAGAATTGAAATCCAATGCAGGAGGAGTATTGCTTAGGAAAAATGAGATCTGAGCTTGGAGCCAGGGCTCATATCTGTAATTGTATCTACTCAGGAGGCAGAGATCAGGAGGATCACAGTTCGAAGCCAGCCTGAGCAAATAGTTCTTGAGACCCATCTCAAAAAAAAAAAAAATCACAAAAAGAGGGCTGGTGGAGTGGCTCAAGTTGGAGGCCCTGAGTTCAAACCCTAGTGAGGCAAAAAAAAAAAGAATGAGGTATGAGATTGGGGCTAGGACTAAGAACCAGCAGGAGCAGGGAACATAGCAGAGGTCCGAGCAGACCACTGGCATAGGACTGAAGCATGGAAGGGATTGCTACAGAGAGAAAAACTGGGTTCACTGTGACCTTTCTCTCCTGCAACCCCAAGTAGGTCATCCCCATCAAGGATGGTCAAAGGGGATGAGGTTAAAGCCTGGGGCAAGGAGGCCAGAAATGAACTGGGAACTGAGGAAGAGTGCAAGAGTTAGGGAGATAGGAAAGGTTCAGAATATAATAGGCAGGCTCCCCAGCCCAGGGTCTGGCTTCAGGGCTTCGTTTAGTGGCTATCTCAAAGAAGATTGAATAACCCTTCCTGGCATCCTATAACCTGTCTGCCCACCTGTTTCCTTCAAGCCTCACTCAAATCCCAGTCATAGTGCTTCCTACTATGGCAGAAACAGCCGACAGGAACAGGAGAGGGGCAAGAGCTGTTATAGCTTGGTCAAGGAATGCTTCCTAGAGGAAAAAGAGCCTAGAGAACCCTTAGAAGTCCCGGCAGCTCACAGCACCCTGAATGTGCCCAATCTCATCTGATCTCAGAAACTAAGCAGGGTTGGGCCTGGTTAGTACTGGAATGGCAGAAGTCCAGGCAGCAGAGGTTAGTCATTTCTAGTGCAGAGGGAACCCAGTTGTCTTGGATCCTCCACGTTCTGCTTTGACTCAGGTTTCTCAACTGTAAAATGGGAACAATAGCAGTACTTCTCCATAAAGTCATGTGAGAGTTGAATGCATGAAGAGGGCTTGGACCTGAACCTGTCAGGTAGGGAACCATCCATAAATGTTAGCTGTAATTATCTGACTAGACAGGATAGGAAGGCCATCAGAGGTAGAAGATGCAGCTGAGTGGTTGTGCTGTGCATCAAAAACTATTGCCCAAGAGCCTGGAATCCCAGACCCAGGAGTTTAGTAGTTACTGGTGGTGAGCAAGGTGGAATGATATGGGGATGTTCTGGAATATAAACCAGACCTCAAATCTGCACTGGGATACGTGCCCACACTCACTCACTAGTCACCCAGACACTCAGGCTTCATCTCCCACACCTGTACATGCCATACACATACCTATGCAAGGTTGCTCACATTCACAAATGCACACTCAGGGACACAGACCTTGGTTCCTGGCCCGTGCTTCTGCTCCTGCAGTCAAATCTTCCTTTGCCCAGATCCTCTCACTTCCCCTGTCCCTGCACCTTCCCCCAACCCGTAGCCTCAGAACCCATCCATCTCTTTATTGCCCCATTTTTGAAGTATCATTGTCTGGTTGAGCGACTGGCAGGCAAGGATGGGGGGCACAGGAGAAAAGGGGGTGTTCATGGTACTAAGATCTCGTGTGTCAGAGACTGGGAAGGAGCTGGGTGCTCTGCGTTCCACCCACCTTCTCACCAGGGATGGCAGAGGACTGTGGGATAAGTTCTGTCCTAGGGACTCGGGCGTGTCGGGGACACTGAAAGGGACGCCCGGGTCTGGGACGCAGGAGGGGGCGTTCAGCTGGTGTTCTGCGGTCCCCGGGCAGGGTTCTGCCCCGAAAGACGCAGACAAAGGGGGGCCTCCCGGAGCGGATGGCGCCTCCAGGGCCACAGGCCCGGGGCTACGCACAAAGCGGGGGGCGGGCGGCCAGCGCCACCCACCGCCCGGCACCCGACTGCTGATCAGCGCGATTCCGAGCGCTTTCCCCTGCGCCTAATCCCAACAAGCATGAAAACAGCTCGGCCCGGCCCGCCAGCAGGCCCTTTGTCCCGGGCCCTGGCGGGACAGCTGCAGCCGAGGTCCCCTCCCCCTTTTGTGCCTCCTCCCAGCGGCCCCCTCCGCCCTCCTCACCTCAGCTGCCTGGAAGGCCGAGAACCATCCCAGGGCTGTCGCCTCCGGCGATCGGGCGTACAAAGGGGGGCAGCGCCCCTCTTCTGGGGGAGGGGAGGATTAACCCCGGGGTCTGCAGGAGCAGTGGGGCAGGGGAGGGATTGGGCTGCCGGGTGTGTCC